AGAGTTGGGGATCTGGAGAGGCGGAAAAAGCCTCTCTGTTCTAGAACTCGATGCCTTAGAGTGCCAAGCATCTCTCCCAAACAGCGATTGGCTGCGCTGGGGCCTAGCCACGCCTACCTCTGCCTGCCAGGCCAATGAGAAGCAACTAGTAACTTTGGCCAAGATGGCGGCAAAATAACAGCTCTGGAAAGAAATTTCCCTCACGTTCAATCCTTACCATCCAAAAAAATGACGTCCTGAGGTAAAAAAAAAAACCAGAAAAGCCCAAACTAGTTACAGCAGAGACTGAGAACCACAGAAAGCAAGGGGGAAAAAAAAGGGTTGACTGCTGTCTCCACACCACAGAGAGACACAAAACGTGAGTAACACAACAATGGTTCCACACCCCAAAAATTCAACAAAAGCAAAAACAAGGGGAAAAAAAGACAGGCCTCATTCTTGAACTTCCTGAGCTCCAGCCCAAGTCACTTTCCAGAGTAGGAAAGGAGCAGAAATGGAGTCCCCTAGAATTGGGCAGCCAATAAGTTCAAATACATAAATAGAAGAAGGAGGATACACAGGTGGTCCTCGACTTACACAACAGTCCATTTAGTGACTGTTCGAAGACTGCACTGAAAAAGGGGCTTGTCGCCGTTTTTCACACAACCGTTGCAGCATCCCCAGGGTCATGTGATCCAAAATCCAGACCCTTGGCAACCGACTCACATTTACGACGGTTGCCGTGGCCCGGGGATCATATGATCTCCCTTTTGCCACCTTCTGACAAGCAAAGTCAATGGGGGGAAGCCGGATTCACTTAACAACCGTGTTACTAACTGAACAATTGCAGCGAAGGTAAAATGGGGCATTTTAACAAATTCTTAACAAATGTCTCACTTAGCAACCGAAATGCTGGGCTCAGTTAATGACTGTAAGTCAAACAAATCTGCCTCCCTCCTGCGCCCTCCACAACACCCCGCTACCTTTCTGTGAGGTTTGCCTTTTGTCTGCAGAAACTTTTTTTTTACTGCCACAATGACAAACTTTATAAATCTGGAATGAATGCAGGCTTGCTGCATAGCATTGCATCCTAATGGGCCATACATTCAGACTGGGCCACACTGGCTGGGGCTGATAGGAGGTATAGTCTGACGTACCTCAGATTGACAAATGGTGGAGTGACTGATTCCAAGAATAAAAAGAGCAGAGCAGGGTTTATCTTTACAAAAATCAGATTGAGGCCTGTCTGTCCCAGCCTTTCCCATGTAAAAAATGGTATATCTTGATCATACTCAGCTGATATCGTGGCTGAAAGATCACAGAATGCTGGTTTCTTTTCCAGTCCTCTAATAAGAAGGCTTATTTCCATAAAACCTGCAGTTGCAAAGCTCTTTCATTGGTTCCTTAACTAGCAATTTAAACTTAACCCATTTAATTAGTTCTACTACACTACAGCTTGTCATCTTTACTCCACTCTTTAACGAACCGATTCAGATACCATCTATACCAAGTAGAAGAGCAGATAAAATAAAGATGGATATTGCCTCATAAAGCTTCTCTTGGTTTAAAACATTTATTCCATCAAGCTTCCTGAACTGTTTGTACACCAGCTGGCTACCTTGAGGGCTTTTCCTCCCTTTCTCCCTCCCCACCTCTTTTCCTTTTGTGACATGTCTTTTAGACTATAAAATTAAAAGCAGAGTGTCGGCCATTTTTGAAAAGCTTCTTAGAAGACGTTATCTTTCTCTAGTTTGCCTAAATCAAATGGGATGGACGGAGAATTATTTTAAAAAGCTAAGAACCAAGAATTTTCTTTTTAACATTTTCTGATACAGTATATGAGCATTGTTGCCAACCTACCCTCGCACACACCCCTCAAAAGAATCTAATGAATGGAGTAAACCACCTGAACTTCATGGTTTAAATATCTCATGGGAAATATTTGAATGACAAAAGTATACAAAGCACAATTGAGGAACATTCAAGCATTTCCAAAAATGTGTGTTTAAACATGCCCCCCCTCTCTCTCTGTCTCACATACACACAGATGTTGACAAATATTAGCAAATGAAACATACGATTAGCGAGGTTACCAGTAAATTTCTCATCTTTCATTTTGGGTTCTTGGTGAAGTTGTTATTTTTCCTTTTAATCACACGGACATTGCAATCAAACAATAGAATAATCACAAACATTTTCAGTATTTTCCTACGGAGGGGTCTATCCCAATTTTTTTTAATTCTCTGGGTAACAGTAAAACAAATTGGGAATGCTCTTTTCAAACAAAATCTGCTAATGAAAAAAAAAGTAATAAAAACTAATTTGACATGCACTAGTGTTGGTCAGTCGCCTCTCTGTTCCAAAGAAAATGTGTCTAGATTTAGGCCACTGAATTCAATGGGCTTTGACCACAAGCTGGGTTCATGCGAAGCCCTAAGCCATGGTGAGTGGAACAAAGTTTTATTGATTAAACCGTAACTGGCTGGGTTTATACCACACAGTCATCCAGCCAACCAGAACCACAGGTTAACACAACATGACTTAACAAGGCAGGGCCTCTGTTTCTTTAGAAAACATCTTGCAGATCATAGTCAGAAAAGTTGGCAGCCTGGTGCCCTGTTTGATCTTCTGATCTGCCCTGATGCCTAACCATTGAGCATGCTATCTGGGGTTTGAACCAAGTCATGGAGGACTCCAGATTGTGTGTCTTCCCCCCCTGAATTCCTCATATATACTAGTCTCCAAGAACAATGCAGCATGGAAGTCGTAAACTAAAACTTGCTTTCCCCCCCCCCCCCCAACTAGGATCTGCTTCATCCCCCTGTCGCCCCGGGCCTGGTTGCTAGAACAAACTCAGCTCGGTCTTCTTGAACCCCACCATGCTGGGCTCTCTTTCAGAACTGGTCCCCACAAATCCCCCCAATTAGCACGATGACATCATATCTGATACAACTACGTTTAGCACAGGTTTCTGTACGCCCTAATTCATGCATGCAAATCCACTGTATTAGTAGTAATAGGAAGAAGAGTTATAAGCCACCTAACGTTGATGTTCAGATGGGCAGGGTAGACTTGTAGACAAATGTTGGGCAACATCTGGCTTTGTAACAAGGAAATAAAAAGAAAGGGTTCTCCAACATCAGCTTAAAAAGGTGGGGAGGGGCGGCTGCTTTTAAGAGTTGCAGAACAGACGGGTTTAACAGACATGGTGGGCATGATTTCTACCTGCCTCTTAACTCTTCCCAGGTGTCCTCCTTTCCTACATGGAGGAACATCTTAACAGAAATCTGCCTCTTAAAAAGCCAGCATGTTCTGCGTCTGGATCATAAGAAATGTGCATTTTAACCATCATTGCAATAATGATTTCAGCCAGTGTGAGCTTTGATGCACAGTGAGACAGAAGAGATTGTTTGTCTTGGGGATGACAATGTGAAGATTATCGTTCTGGATCATACTAAACTCTAGTTGGTATAGCCGTGATGTATTGAATAAACCACAATTGAGGGTTGCATTTGTGCTGACCTGCATGGCTGACGAACCCCAGCAGCTCGACCCGCTCAACATCTTAGCCTCCTGCTGAAGCGCAGCATGTGGATCCACTTGGTGGAACCCTGGAACTGGGTTGATTCCCAGTTCAAATGCCCTTTTGACTCTTAAGTATCCCTGGCCCTCCCTGTGCGACTCCCTTCACTGAAGCCACTGCCCAGTTCAGTTTCTGAGGTAGATGGTCTTGTAAATGCAACAGGATTGAGGCGCCAAGAAGGCAATTGCCATTATTCGGATGGTTCCAGGTGTAGGATAGACGAATTGAGAGCTCTCCAGATACTTTGGGATCATAACCTCCATCCTGCCTCATCACGGGCAATGCTTACCAAGGCTGATGGGATGTGGAACGTGAGGCGATCTTGAAGATCTTACGATGCCCATTGCACAGAAGAACCTATGAACATGGAACGCAAGGAAGGGGCCATACCTGGGAAGAAGTATGCTTTGCCTGCTAAAACCAACTTGGCCTTCTCCAATTTCTTTAAAAAGGGTGACCTCTCTACGACTTGAAACAATTATATCAAGCTTCATCAACACAGCACCAAACTAAACAGTCTAACTAAGTTTCTGTCTGGCCAAGAGACACCTGGATGAAACATTCACAGGATCAACTGATAGACCAAAGGGACCTTAAATATGCATATTTTCACTCCTATGACCTGCTCAACCAAATTTCTCAGGGTAGACCTTTTGGGTTGGTGTTTCCTGGAAGACAGTTCACTCCAACCCACAGATGACAACATGTAGCCTGGTGGTTGCAGATTTTGCATGTCAGAATAGAGCTACCTGTTTCTTCGGACAAGTTGGAGGAAAGATCTCCAGGAGGCTGGAGAAAGCCAAACTATTTCTCAACTCATAAACAACAGAAGTGGGTCCTTAAAGGATGACGCATTGTACCTACCGGGTCATCTAAACTCCAAACCAAATCTAGATTAGAAAGGAGATCTCGGAGCACAGCAAAGAACCTTAATAGGGATCAAGTGGATGGGAGGGTCAGATACAATTGGAAACAGAGAATTCAGAAGTACTTGAAGGCTAAACAGGGCAACATCTGGCCAAATTCATCTACAAAGACCTTGGACGATGACAAACAAAACTTCCAAATCAACAAGGAAAACCAACGGGGAGAAAAAGATACTGCCGTTGCTATCATCACCAAAAGAAGCGAGGGCTTGAACGTGTAATGCAAATTTTCTCGCGCGCTCTTTCTGTGCTGGGTTGTTTGTCTCGTTTCGTCATATGTACAGGTCCACCAGTCAAATGGTAACCACAGTGCAATGTCTCGCAAGCCTTGGATCCAGGACAGGGGGGAAATTGTGCATTCTCTGGGCGCAGAGAATTCTGCAGACACACTGTTGGTGGAACTAAGAGGGTGTCTTTACGTGGCGTCCACCAGGGAGTAAGCAGCTGGACATCTCCCCTTGGTAGACAGCAAAAGGCATGTTCAGTAGACCACCGATCAGTCCCGGGTTTCCTTAAAGGTGTCTTGGGCTGGGGTGCCCATTATGATACAATTTCTGTTTGATGTGCACCATGTTTCCCGCGGCTTCGTCATATTGGCTGTGATGGCGTTTCCGGAACTCCTTGAAGTTACAAAATTTGGGAAACCAAGACCATGAATTTTCTGGGAAAGGAGAGAAAGAGAGAGACAAAAATGTGATTCAGCATGATGGGAACAAGAGATTCCCCCTTTCACCCAACAGGACTTCCAACAGAGGTGGGCAAACCCATTTGATGATTCGGGAAGAGACTGGCCGCTCCAAATAAGGTTGAAGAAGCCACAAAACATCAAAAGAAAGCTTCCGGTTGGGATTTCCTAATAGCTGGTGTCGCAAAGCATCCACGTTCAGTTTTTAGAAGAATTATCTATCATTAACAAAGAAACATTCTTTTTTTTTCTCTCCTTTGTGAATTTACCTAATCTCATTTTAAAATCTTCCGACTGATGAGACAACACCATGGACAGTGTCCCAACCAGGCTAAGTTAGTGTCTTTTACATGTTATTGAACTATGATTCGAAATATCCCTGGCTGAATGCCATGAGAAGCCAGGGTTCCTTACTCCTAACTTATAATACCTCATCCTTTAAATCTAAAAGTACAGTACTTCTAAATTTCTGTACAGTTTATCCTCAACTTACGATCACAATGGGAACCAGAATTTCCCTTTGCTGAGCAAAGGGGTTGATTAAGTAAGTCATACCCCATTTTACGACCTTTTTTGCCAAGGTTATTAAGCATATCAGCGTGTTGTTAAGTGAATCATGCAGTTGTTAAGTGAATCTGGCTTGCCCCACTGACCCGACTTTTCAAAAGTCATCGGGAAGGTTGCAAATAGCGAGATCTTGTGAATCTGGGGTGCTGCAACCTGTTGTAAATAAACACCGGTTGCCAAGCGCTCAAATTTTGATCAGGTGATTCAAAGGATGCTGCCCCGGTTGTAAATATAAGGACCGCTTGTAAGTCCCTTTTTTCAGTGCTGTTGTAACTCTGAATGGTTGTTAAATGAATGGCTGTAGAATGACTGTAGTTGAAGGACTACCTGGGCATTGACAATTGTTCCCACAATTGTTTCCTTCCATACAAAATGTTCCAGTCTTATAACGTGGGCACACTTAAACCTCCTACATGTGAACCAGACACGAAGGTAGCTTCAATCAAACAAGAACGACACTGGAATTAGGAATACTTCTAGGCCAGAAGCAATTTGAAAAAAACCCTTTAAAGCACATATTAACAGTATAGATCTGACAAAAATGAGTTTTCCTCTTTCAAATGAGGCACCTACATATAAACAATGTTGGGCTGCAAAGCTGTTGTCTGTTTTCAATGCAGCACAACAGGAGGGGACTGTCTGCCTCAGTTCCCTGTTTGAATATTGGGGTAAGAAAAACTCTCCAACAGTATAAAAATAATAATAATGGAAAGTTCATTTAGCTGCTGGATGTGAAAGTCCAGCTAGCCAACTGTTTGGCTGTTCTACTCTCTTCAAAAACTGTCCAATGCAGTTTGTATTCAAGACAAAATAAACCAAATGTCAATAAATTTAAAGGATCGTTGGTTAGCTAAACTAGTGTCTAATTTTAGCAGGGTTTTTCCAGGCCAATCTTTTATTGGTTGAGTTTTAGTTTCTGTTTGTATCAGTTATGCTGATATATGTTGCTTTTATATACATTGTTATTTTATCTGTATAGCCCACCCAGACTTTTTAAGGAAAGAGGTGGCATGTACATTCCCTAAATAAAATAAATCTGGCTCTTTTGCCTCCCACATTATGACCCATTGTTCCAAAAACATATGCAGCTGTCTTCTAAAACAAGAAACTATTTTCTAGAGAAAAGAGCCCAGTAAATTCCATAAATTAATTCCATTCATCTTGGAGAAGCAGATTGCAGGAAAAAATTCCATTGTTTGCTCAGTCTAGAATTTACTACCAGTATATTTTATTAGGTCCATAGGATTAAAAACTCTCCTGGGAATTTTTTCCCCAAGTAGATTGAACTTCTGGGCCTCTAGTTGTTGACCTCAGGTTCAAACATTCTCCATGCTTGCAATTTCCCTCATGCAAAGCCAGCAATCATTTGAAAATCCTTGCACGTTGACTTGATTTCCACTTACCATACCGTCGGCTCGTCCGCCATGCTCGTACGGCATAATGGAGCAATCCGTCCATCCACACAAGAAACCAGCTTATACAGAATCCCAACAAGAGTCCCAGCATCAGATCAATTTCTTGCTTGGTGACGTTGTCAGTCACAAAGTAGTTCTCGGAAGAATCAACCACCGACTGGTCTCCATCGTACGGGATGACATAATGAATGTGATGCCTAGGTGGTAGAATTAAGGAGAGAGAAGTGGATATGAGGGAAAAAGAGAGCATCATGGTTATATGATCAAGAGAAGCATTTGGTTTGCCGTCCTTGGTAAATATCGTTCTGGATAATAAAGAATAGAGTAGAGTAGAGTAGAGTAGAGTAGAGTAGAGTAGAGTAGAGTAGAGTAGAGTAGAGTAGAGTAGAGTAGAGTAGAGTAGAGTAGAGTAGAGTAGAGTAGAGTAGAATAGAGCTGGAAGGGACCTTGGAGGTCTTTTAGTCTAGGAAACCCTATACCATTTCAGACAAATGGTTGTCCAATCTCTTCTTAAAAACTTCCACTGTTGGAGCATGGCTTCCAGTATTCCCCTAACTGGAAACCAATATGGAACTACAGCAAACTGAGGATGGACACCACCATTGGAGGCATCCACTTGGTTGAGGTTCTCCTTAATCAGGAGAAAATCCTGCTTTGACCTTGACATAGCTATGGGCTAAACCTTTGATTCAGGTGATCATCTCAATTAAGTTCAGGCCAATTAATACATTATTCAAGAAGAATCATAAGACTCTTTGATCTGATGACTACTTAGCCATTGGTGTTCAAGGGGCCTGCTTGGCAATGCAGAACATCCTGTGGTCCATCCAGAGCCATGTCTTCCAGAGCTGTGGATAGCCAGATGTTTGCAGATGTTCTCTTGGACCACAATTCCCATACACAAGCCAGTTACAGCCCAAACTATTCAGACAGTTGAATGTATGACACTGGCAACAATATCAACTCAAACTAGGTTTTGTTTTGTTTTTAAAAAATGGCAACCATCAAAAAACCTTTGGAAGAACTCAGAACTAAAACTTGCTTTTGCATGGGGAACAGCCAAAATTCCTTTCTCTTTAGGTCCTGGACTTCTGTAAAAGGGTTTTCTGGAGATTAAATACTGTATTTCTCCAAATGCTTCTCCTGCTCCACAATGAAGTTACCATCCTGATTCCAGGACTTCTGTCTGCTGCTGGTATGTTTTGTGTTGTGTTGTTTTGTGCCAAAGATTTTCACTTGCAAAATGAGAATCTTATGAAGTCAAGTAGCTGCCAAGGTCCCTGACCTGCTTCAGAGGCTGGAGAAGTGGTCTTGATGGACCCAGTGCCACGCCATCTGCATAAAATCCATTATCATCATCCATCTCTACAAGAAGCAACTGGGTAGTCCTTGACTTACGGCAGTTCGTTTAGTGACTGAGGTTACCATGGCACTGAAAAAAAGTGACTTAGGACCGTTTTTCACACAACCATCGCAGCATCCCCACGGTCATGTTATCACAATTCAGACACTTGGCAACTGACTCGTGCTTACGACTGTCACAATGTCCTGGGTTCATGCAGGTTGTAAGTCAAGGATTACCTCTGCTTCATTAACCAAGTGCAGTGTCGTACGAGCCAGGCCTTGGGACTATGTGAAAACATTAGAATTACAGTTTCAAAATTCCCATGCGGCTTGTGACTTGGGAATTGAAGCAAGTTGAGCTTGTAAATTTAGAAGATGCCAAGTTGCATTTAAAAAAACAACAACTTTGCATTGATATTTCACTCTTTTAAGTAAGCCTAGCCAGGTCTTCTCATTTGTGCCCCTCTGAATTTCAAATATGAAACTTAAGCGAGCTAAGAGTGTCTCACATCCGAACCCCCCCGGCAGACCAGCCCACCTTCAATTCCCAGTTTCCCTATAAAGGACAAACTGAATTTATGTCTTCAGCGGGGAAGGCCGGAGTTTAAAAAAGGCAAGAAAACAAAACAGATGGATTGCCCTCTCACAATCAAAGTAACACAAACTGACAATCCAAGACAGAGAAAGGAAGAATGGCCTTTAAATTCATTCTCTAACTATTCAGACTCGGTCAAGGGGACACAGGCCAAATAAAGCTGCCCTTTCTTGCCACTGTGATGCGTACTTCAGTCACCTGTCACCATCTGATCCTCCCTTTCCCAATTTTCAGCAAATGACAGTATTTTAGGACAGCGTGAAACACATCCTGCTAATCTTAGCAATTTCAGGGCGGTCTGCAGGATTCAAACCGTCTTAACGTTCATTCGTTTGCAAATGGCAACGAATCCTCTTAGCTCTGTTATTCTAGCAAAGGGACCTATATATAAATATAGTAAAAAATAAATAAATCAAGAACTGATGTACATCTCACGGCAGGCCAATTTTCCTTTAGAAAAGAGCTTTCCCCTCTTTTGACAGGGATCCTATTCGCTACTAGAACAGGACCTAAAAGATTTCAGTCGACAGAACGTATGTTTCCCTGGGGAAAAGACTGCTCACCCCAACGTCGGAGTCTATTTCAATTTCCATCACACCTTTCTTTTCGCTCCCCCTCACCTTTTCAGCTCACAACAACCCTACAAATTAGGACAGCCAAGGGACAGACCGAGACCAAACTTGGAATCGGCATTTTGTTACCGCGAGCCGTTCATTTGATCTGCCCTTTAGGGAATTAGGAAGTAAATAAGTGATTTTAGCCTTGACTGTGGGAAAAAAAGGACTAAAGAAATGATAGTTTGCTGGAACGGCTAGCCATCAATGCATCCAAATACTAAATTGTCCTATTGGGTCATGTTTCCCAATCTTGGCAGCTTTAAGATGAATGGACCTCAACTCTCAGAATTCCCCAGCCACTCTTGTTGATGTTTGAGAGCCTACATCTGCAAGGGCAGTCTACCTTGCCGCAGGTAGCAGCCTCTGAGCAAACTGGCATGGTTTGGTCCCCCCCTTCTTAAGCAGAAATGGTTTGCTTGGAAACAAACGCAAAGTGGTTTCCTCATGCAAACATCACCATCTGGGTTAGAAAGCCCCTTAGCCTGCCTGCTTGGTCTGTTTCTGAAGATGTGGGATAAACTGGCCACTGTTTTGTCTCACCAAGAAACACAAGCCCCCCCCCCAGCTGACCTGTGGCCCCCAAAGCCATTCAGGGAGCAGCTGAATGCTAGCTGAGCCAAACGTCCCCACTTTCCCAGTATCCTCACAAAGTGATCTACTGCCCGGGCCAGTTGCCAACCTACCTTTAGAAATAAAACTTGTTTACTGAGCCTCTGTTGGGGTTTCCAAGTGGAACTAGAAACCCGGTAGCAGAGACGGAGGAACTGTTCTGCTGGGTCAGGTAGATTTTTCTCTACCCTCCCTTTTTCTACTGGGGCTCTTGGGGAGAAAACGTTCAAGCCAGGGCGACAAGGACCACAGTCCTTCCTTCCCCCTTTTCCCTTCCGGATTCCCTGCTACAAGGTAGACTGCCCTTACAGATGTAGGCTCTCAAACGTCAACAGCCTATTCTTCCCTACGCCTTGGTTTTGCTCAGAGCGCCTTTGAACCGCCATCCAAAGTGCTGTTGTGGTATGCAAACATTTGACACCATTGGCTGACGTTTGCCACTAAAAACATCCATGCAATCAGCCAAAATCCCTTCCTTCCTTCCTTCCTTCCTTCCTTCCTTCCTTCCTTCCTTCCTTCCCCCACATTGCTTTATAACTCTGACCTTCCTTGCAGGCCCGTCGTACAATCGAAAGCCCAACAAATGCACCAGCAAAGAACCTTCAAATTCAAACTCAACCACTTGCACTTCCCATCTGAGAGAGGGCTAAAAGTGGCATGCCCTCCCCTCCTCTCCCCCTCCCCCTCCCCTCCCAGAAGGTGCCCCTTGTCCCACCCCACCACCCGCCAGACAGGGCTAAATGTAGGGCTTACCTTCCACAGTTGCAGTGACAGACCCGGTCTTCTCCTCTCAGATGCGGTAAGATATAATTATGAAATCGGTCAAGGAGAGCATTCATGTCCATTAAACATGCTATTGCCTGAAAGAGGCCCAAAAACATTTGGATCAGGTCTTGGGGGGAAACAATTTTTTTAAAAAAAGACACCCCACACTGACCCACCTTTAGAGGAACGAAGGAAGAAGAAACTACCCCGAAAGTGATGCCTTTTCTCTCTCTCTCTCTCCCCACCCCCAGCTAATAAAAAGCGTCAGCTTGGGTAACCTCTTAAGGATACCTGTAGAGGTTACGGGCATCCCTGAAAACGGGAACACAACCCCGTCATGCGTGCATTGACCATTCTCCACCAGAAAAAAGCCCCGGGACTTGGGAAAGGGAAAGGGGGGGGAAGCAAGATCAGAGAGGAAGAGGGGACTGGAACACCTCCTCTCCCCCCCCTCCAGGGAAAAAAAAAAATTGGAGGGAAAAAATTGGAGGCAAGAAGGAAAGGGCATCCTTACCATCACAACCGAAGCCCCCAGGATCAAAAATATCATGGTGTTCGCATTCATGGACCTGGCGGGGAAACTGACAGCCGCCCGGTCACTTCCCTGCAGGCCGCCGCCGCCCCCCCCCAGCCGCTTCCCCCAGAGGAAAAAGGAGAGAAAGGGGGCCCAGCTCTGGGCGGCGCAGAGGTCAGAGACGGCCGCAGAGAAGCTCTTCAACCTGAACTGCAATTCTGGCAGGGGGGGGACCTCATCGGCCCCCCCTTCCTCCCGCCAAGCCTAGCAAAACGCAGGGCTGCTTCTGGGGGGGGGCGGCGGCTCCCCTCCCCTCCCCCTTCTTCCCCTTCCCCACCACCCCAGCTGGGGGTCTCGCTTTTTTTTCCCCCCCCCTTCCTCCTCTGAACTTGCTTCCTTCCTCGGCTTATGCCCAGCTCTCTCCCTCTGCCCCGGCCGGAGGGAGCATCTTGGCAGGCTTAGGCCAGGTGCCCAGGGCGAGCCAGGTGAGGCGCCGAACCGGAGCCGGACGGCAGGTAGAGCATCCCTCCTGCCTGCTGCGCCGTCCGGGGGAGAGCAGCGCCGCCGCCGCCGCCGCCGCCGCGTCAGGGCGAGGAGCAAAGGCAGGCCAGCTCTCCAACAAGCCACCCAAGCCCGGGCAGGCAGGGCAGCAGCCCCCTCGGCATCGCTTCGCCCGGTCCCCCCCCCCNTGTGTGTGTGTGTGTGTGTGTGTGGTGGGGGGGTTGATGGAAGAAACAACCCCCCAAAACCTCATCTGGAGATGGATTTGGAGGGGGTGCCACCCCTCCCTTTTCAGGGGGAGGTTATGAAATCTTGGGCATCCACCTTGGGCATTATGCAGGCAAAGAGGGGTGCGCGCGAGCGTTTGTGTGTGTGTGTGTGAGGATGTTAATAATAATAATGATGAGGAGGAGAATATAAAAAGGAATGGATAGCTCTCCCCCCCCCCTCAAATCAAGCCATACACCATACAGAGAGGCAAGCATCGTCAAGGGTCAGTACCAAAGCTTTTCTTAACACCAACTCCCCCCCCCTTTCAGAACCCGGCTATTTCCCCCTCCCCACCTTCATCATCCTCCCTACATATTGTCTCGCTCTCCCCCCCCCCACTTCAGCCCCACCCAGTCCAGCATTTTTTAAATAATGGGACATCCGTGAACCACCCCCATCAAAAAAATAAAATAAAAGAGCTTTAGAGAGCTTTGACAAACGGGCTCCTTTTTTCCCCCTCCCAGGGCCAGCCATTCCTTCACCCACCCCCCCCCCATCCAAGAAACCAAGGATTTTTTATTTTTATTTTTTTTTACCTATTTGTAGTGGCGTTGATGCTCCATCTTAAAAAGGTCCTTGCAGGAAAGGGGGGGGGGGTGCGCGACGCCGTTGCGTATCCTTTCTGTGTTTACAATCTGGACTCCTTTCCTTACTCTCTGCCCCTCTTCCCCCCCCCCACAAAAAAAAGCTGCACACACCCCCTTTTCCTATCTCCTTTAATCAAAATGGTGTTTGATCAAAATGGGGGGTGGGGAGAGAAGGGGAATCTCTCGCTCTCTTTCTGCTCCTCTTCCCAGCCGCTGATCTTAGTACCAAAATCCGTTGCCTCCCACCTTGCTTTGGAAGTCCCTTCTCTTTGCCCCCCCCCCGGAAGAAAAATCCACCTTTTATTCCGAGAAGGTAACACTTCTCAGAATAAATTGCATTTGTGTGCAATTTACCCTACCCCTTCACCCCCTCAAAAGTGAGGTTAACTTTTAGGGGGGGGGGAAATAACACAGAAACACACAAATACAATATAAAAGGAAATGTGGGGGGGGGAGAGAATTGGAGGGTGGTCCCCGCCTCCAGCAGCTTCCCAGGAGATCTCCAGTCCTAAGTTAAGAGTTCGGAAGCATCAAGTTGCAAAAAAAAATAAAAATGCCTGCCTTCTCCAAGGCACCATCATGTTGCTTGGCTCCAGCCACTCCAAAGCTTTGGGTTGAGCCTGCTTCAGCCCTTGTCCTGGTCAGTCTTCAAAGTGATTTGGCTTAGCTTGATCAATCTTGGGCTGCAGCCCGGCTAATTCCGAGCTGACATGGAGGAGTCTCTTCCCTCCTTCATCCAGGCACTGAAGAGAATGCAACAGGTTGCCATACACATATACCAAGAGTCCCTGCTCCTAAATGCTAACCCTGTTTCAGACTCAGCACCTTAAGTCTGTTTTGACAGGTGCCCTTGGTGGCTTGTGAACTGGGTTTAAATAAGCCAGATGTTTCCTCTTCAAAGTTCTCAAAAATCAAGGAGGACTCATTTGGGAAGCGTGTTGATTTTACCTTGGGTCTTCCTTGGAATGTGCAAGGATTTTTTTTTATTTTTTATTTTGTGAGAGAGAAGAGACAAGGAGATGCCATTTTTCCGTGAAAAGAAGAGTAGAACCTCTGAGAAGTAGCCATCAGATGCGGATTTTTTATCCACGCACTCAAAGTCTACCCATTGTCCAATGGTGGAATAAGACCACTAGCACTAGCACTGATGCTATTTCCTAGTTGGGTAATGAAACGTCTGCAAGAAAATCACCAAGTTCAGGGAGCACAAATGACCCCATGGTGGAAAAAAGTTTAAAAAGTTAAAGGGAGAAAGACCTCTACTAGCCTCCCTTTAATTCTCTGTCGGTAAATTTAAATTTAACACACATTTCTCTGGGGATCACGTAGGCTTCCACAGGCCAGGTCTTCTCATTCCATGAACGCTTAAGACTTGAACCAATTACCTACCTACAATTGTCTCCTCTGCTGATTCTCCTGATGTACTTTTGGAGCTGGTCATACATAATCAGTTCAACATTTAATTAACCCAAACTGATCTCCAAAACCAAGCAGAGTTGGTATATACTGGAATAAGAGACTACCAGGTCAGATTAGATTCAGCTCTGCCTGCCTGTGTACTCTATCTATCTATCTATCTATCTATCTATCTATCTATCTATCTATCTATCTATCTATCTATCATCTACTCTATCTACCTACTCTATATCTATCTATCTATCTATCTATCTATCTATCTATCTATCTATCTATCTATCTATCTATCTATCTATCTATCTACCTACCTACCTACCTACCTATCATCTACCTACTCTATATCTATCTATCTATCTATCTATCTATCTATCTATCTATCTATCTATCTATCTATCTATCTATCTACCTACCTACCTACCTACCTACTCTATCTATCTATCTACCTACTCTATCTATCTGTCTGTCTGTCTACCTATCGCATGGAAGAGAGTTGGGCGACGCTGGGCCTGTCATTCTCTCTTAGCCCCAGACTAGATAGTCAAAAAACATTTCTCTGCCAAGCCAATGAGAGGTAACAGCCCATAATCTTCAATTAAGAAACCTTCGTCTTGCATAGATTCGTAGCAATCGTAATTTTTACAAACACCATGAAAGAAAACAATGGAAACCATGTATGCACTGAAGCCGTGAGAAGCACACAGACTGTAATCCTGAAATCGCCACAAGTCGTTCTTCACTTACAACCATTTGTTTAAGTGGAGTTACAACAGCACTGAACAAAAAAAAAGTCCGGTTTGCACACTTACGACCTTTTCAGCCTCCCCATGATCGATCGCGTGATCAACATTTGTGCATTTGGCAACTGGCATGTGTTTACAACGGCCGCACTTGTCGTGGGGTGGTGGTGTCTTGTAATCGTCATTTGTAATCTTCCTGGATGGCTCCCGACAAGCGAAATCAATGGGGGAGGCCAGACTCGTTTAAGGACCGCACAATTCACTTAATAACTGAAGCGACTCGCTTAACAACTGTGGCAAAATAAATGTCATGAACTCACTTAAAATCTTGCTTAGCCACAGGAAATTTGGGCTCGACGGTGGTCATACCTGCCCCGTAAGGCCTAACCTTAGCCGGAGAAACGACAGTAGAGGTGATTCGTATTTATTACAGGGTTCCAATTTCATTGCTACTATTATACAGATATGCGCTGCTCCAGTCCAAATCTTTCTATATTCCAGCTGTTCTGTTTGTCCGTTCCCTCCCGCAATAAAACGACCAACCGAAATAACGTAAGATTTTATACTGGCACATATAAATGATATCTTTAGAGAAGCATTCTTTTTATAATTAAACCCCTCCTTATAACCATTCAAGTAAGGTAGCCAGAGCGGGAGGGGACAGGGTCAGAGGAGAGGGGATTAAAACAAAATCTTGGGTGTTTTCGTCTCTTAAATAAACCAGCCTCAAGGGAAGAGAAGTTCTTTTTTTTCTTTTCTTTTTTCCATTTTTCTCGGCAGAGTTCATTTGAATCCCTGTATAGAAACCGACTCCCTTGAACTGCAAATAATATTAATATTAATAAAAAAAAAATTAAAAAAAAAATACAGTGGGCCAAAGGAAATTTTAAAAAAAGCAACGAGGAAGTGAGTTGGGTTGGATGTTCGCTCTCCAAAAGGAGAGAAAAAAAAATTGTCCCGTTGGATCAAAACTAAACATGCCTCGTTTGTCTGCAGTAAGGCCTGGAGGAGATGGGTCGGTCTGTCTGAATTGGTTTCAATAAAAGCAGACTGTGTGCAGAAAAGTCCTACCACTTTTCTCTTCAAATTCTTGTAATAGCTCATCTATCTCATTTTCCATGTCTTCCGTGTGCTGTATCTGCAGAAAGGGGGGGGGGGGAAGGAAACATACAAGGTAAAGATATTTAATTTGCTTTAAACTGGAGAATAAACATTTTCAACTTCCCCCCTCCAAAATATACACAGAGAGTAATTTCTCCTTTTACTACGATAAAGCTTCTAATTCAACAACAAATCATAAAATGCCAGCGGGACACAACCCTGCCGTATGCTTTTTCCGAATTCCCCCACCCACCCTCAGAGAAATAGTTACTATTCTTTATCATTCTTGATCATAACTGATATGGTGTCCAGAAGATCCTGCCCCTCCACATGTGAGCCCAGAAACTTTTCTTTTTTTGGCCCTCAAAGCTATCTGAATCCTCTGTTTTTAGCGTCTCTCCATGAGGACTAGCAAGTTACTTAAAAAAGAAAGAAAGGAAAAAAAAAACAACGAAAAAAGTAAATCTCAGCCAAATAACAATAAGCAAAAAACACACTCCTCTCCCCTTCCCAAAACGATTGAAACTGTTCTCCTTTTGCTCTATGCCTTTTTTCTTTCTTCTAGCTAATTCATTCAGATGTTACTGGGGGGGGGGGAGAGGTCTTTTTTTGTGTTGTTTTTTTTAAAGTATGAATGGTGTTTTGGGACTCAAAGCTTCATTCCATATGCTGTCCCACTTAAGACATAGCTGGTGCTGTGAGCACGTTGTATGAAGAGGACACTGCTGCCGGAGAATAACTTTCGGTGGAAGGCACTTCGCCAAGCTGGATGAAGCGGATGGGACATGTAGTCCAATATATACATTGGGAGGAGGCTAGGCTAGCAGGGGGTGGGATCAGAACCATCAGAAGGATTTCAGAGAGAGATGGTTTGACTTACACACTGGCACAGCTCGCAGATAAGGAAAGCGCCCAGCGTTGCCTCTTCGTGATTATCTTGAATGTCCACATTTATTACGTGCACAGGCTGACAGGTTTCCTGTTCTCTAGAATTTAAATCTAAGGGGACAGAAAGGGGGGAAAAAAGATTATGAAAATGGGGGGAAAAAACCCATCTCTTTTCTGTTTTACTATAGGCAAAGAAGGAAAGCCAAATGGAGACCGTGCATGTTTGGGGGGTGTGTGTGTGTGTGTGCTTGGCCCCAGGATTTGAATTCCAAACCCAGTGAATGAAAAACCCCAAATCTGCAAATTTTATACAGGTCTGGTTTGCATCATTTAAGCAAGTTGGACAAAGAGAGGCTGGTATATCAAAGCAAAAGGCAAAGAATCCCTTTTGCTTTCTGAGGGATTCACTTTATATATATATATATGTGTGTGTGTTTGTGTGTGTGTGTGGCACATCATGAGAGCTAGAAACTTGCCTTCCAAACTTGAAAGAAAGATGTAAGTCCCAGTCCCCAAGCTTCCTTCCATACACTGCTCCACTTAATTAGTAGAACTAATTTTACTTTTATCGAAAGATTACATTAACAAAATCTTGCAAATCTGAAAGCACGCCCCCCCCCTGCCCCCTTTATAGTCGAAGAATCTGAGATGTTTGCCACACCCCCTTTTTTTTCTGAGGGCACAGCAGCCTCTTATCTGTTCCTTGGCTACAGCTCTTCCCGGTCTCCCAAGGTCATTTGCACATAGCTTGACTTTCTGTGCAGATCCAACCCACCCGTTTTCACCTCCCCAAGGCCAGGCCTTACCTTCTATCACTTGATCGTAAACTCTTTCTTCGCACGTTAAGATCAAATCAAAGACGTCTTTGCAATTCTGGAATCTTTCCGGACGTGGCTTGATCCGTTTGTTTCTGTCTAACATGTGCAAAATCCCGTTCTGTGTATAGCTGAAGTGATCAGGGTTAAGGAACTTAAAAAGTGGAACGGCACTGATTTTTGTTATTGCAAACAGGACTGGGCTGGGGATCAGTAATCCAGAAGGAGGGGAAAAAAATAAACTTTAAATTGACTCCACAAACAGGAAGCCTGTTGCCCCTGAAAAAAACCTTCCCAAGCCCCATTATCATTTTAGAAATACAGGACACACTTTTAACCTTCTCAGCAATTAGAAAACTGGCAACTGTCTGGTTGGATGGAAAACTCAGGCTATAAATCAAATAAATAAATAAATAAAAATTAGGAAAATAACAATTCCCCATGGGGTTTCATTAGATCAGATCACCATGTTGTTAAACTGGGATGATTTGCAATTATCTATGTTAAGAAGCTTTAATATTAATATTTAGTCAGTTGGCATTTTTTATCTCAAGGCAGAAGAAACCTTTCTATTGGTGAATACGCCTGGCTAGGATAATGGGATAACAGATGTCCTTGTTCACTCTCTCTCTCTCTCCTCTCCCTCCCTCTCTCTCTTCTTATTCTAAAACACATTGTTGTTATTGCTTATTCCTTCATGGTCCAAGGAAGGCAATGTTTAAATGAAAAAAAAAATTCTTGGATGACAGCACCTCAATTCTAGCCTTTTTGGTTTCGCAAAGCTTCGGATCAATTCCAGCATGACTAAGGATGCAATTGAACAAATGCAAAGATCCCAGAATGACCTATGTGGGGATTTTGGCCAGCCTTGGTTGAGGAACATCTACAATCCCAAATAGCAAAACCACATCTCTGCTGCAACCCAGAGACTGATCAGGGGAAGGCCACAATTACAGACAGTTATGGATTGTAGACACTTATGGAGACAATTTGAAGACTCAACATGAGTCCAACCTCTTCCCGCAGCTACTGACAATGCCAGCCCAGATCTACCATCTGATAAGAGAACAGACACTTGATTGAAGCTGGAAACCATTCCGCATTCCTTGAGTACTATTCTATGATGCCTTTCTTGCTTGTGTTGAGCAGAACTCACATTTGTTGAGGGAGAAAGGCTTTAGCAACCAGTGAAGCAATGTGCGGTTCTTGGTGTTCTAGTGTTTGTTTAAGCGTACCTACCCAGCTCAATTATAGTTTATTGAGTCAGCCTCAAGCTTTGCCAACACACTAGGTCCACTGAGCAAGGTCCACAAACCATGAAGACTGGGGACATTCTATAAACAAAACCCAGATGGACCAGATAACATCTGAGAGCAGAGACAAATGACTTCCACCAACACAAGAGCTTGGTATTTGAAAGGCTGGTGTCTCACTAGGCCATTTTGAGGTGAAGTGCACTGAAATAATCTGACCAATTTGTAAGGGCATTTCCAAGCAGAAAGGAGCAAATTCCACGCAGAGATGGGAAATAAGGTGGATTATTTATTCCAGGACCTGCTTGGTCAAGAAACTAAGGTACGATTTGATGTCTACCTACCTCACAGTAGAAGGTCCACATCTTGTGGTCTGAAGGACTGCGGTTATTAAATAAATAAATAAATGTCCCAATTGTACTATAACCACAACCACTTCCAAAGCATCGTCTCCTTTTGATTATCTGCTAGTATGCTACGGTATCGCTTGCACACGAAGCAGAAACAGTAAACCTTTTCCTTTCATCCTCATCATATCCCTGCGGGGGAATCAAGAGATGGCAACTACGACTGAGTGAAATTCAGTTGGAAAAGGTGGGCTAAGTTTTGGGTACGGGACTTCAATCAAGTAACTAAAGAACTGGGGAATGTGGTGCTGGAACAAAAGAAGAGTTGAAGAACTTGGCCTAGTGAGGGACAAGAATTGGGAAGAATGGACAGTGGAGACAAAACAAAGAGGGAACTGCTTCTCTCAAAATACTTGGAAGATTGGTCGTCCAATGATGCTGGAACGAAGTAGAGGAAAGGTCCCGTAACTTGCTTGCAGAGCATGTTTCTGTATGAAAGACCTTGTAGTAAGATGTGCAATGGTAGCCACCTCAGCAGAGAGGATGAAAGATTATCAACAGTTGCTAGTCAAGATGGTTAGATAGTGCCTCTGAAACCAAAAACACTAGACCTCCGGGTTGCTGAGAAACAGGATAGATCTTTAGACAAGAACTGGGCCAACTATTAAGTCCTGTATCAGATTGGATCCCTACAACCATCAAAACCCATGTATTGCTGGACTCCTCATGAGAATGTGTGCATCGTTTGTTGCTACGTGAGACGTGTCTGAGTAGACAAGAAGGGCATCCCCAGGCTCTCATTGTGCCAAAAGCGTAAATTCCCAGTAGCTAGAGGAAATGTTTTTAAAAAATTAATCTGACTTCCTTATTCCCTAAGGAACTACAGACATTGCTGTTTTGACAACAAAATCTTATGAATGTTTTATACATGCAATGTCCCAGAGGCCAGGTTCAGAGGAGGAAGGCATCAAGAGAGAGTGACTTGAAGGCCCAATTTGCTGAATGAACCCCACCCAAATGGCTGGCTTCACAAGACACGTTAAGCCACAAAGCTTGGTTTAGCCTCACGCTAGCTGGGTTTACGAAACATATTAAGCCAAATACAAAAAAACCCCAGCATCTGGCATTGTGGATCAAACCAGCGTCTTGCGCGTGTCTAAAAAGTGGCTTTCTCACACGTTCAGCTTCCTTGCATCTACAGCACACATTGAAACCCAAGGCTACAATCTAGCCTGTTTGTGCTCTCAACTGGTATAGGCCCATCTCTGGAGGGAAACTAAAGCAACAGAGAACTTCTGCCTTCATTGTTGGCGGCTCAAAGGAGGAACTTGACAAGTCAGGCCGTCAGGAGATGGCGGTGAAACCAGAACCCCCTTCTTCCACAACTAGGAAGATCCTTTTTTCTACTTTCAGCCTCCCATCTAGCTTTCTTCTGCTGTGTTTGCCTTCTTCTGTCCCCAAAGAGGAGCGACGCTTTGGATCTGTCCCACCTTTGAGGTGGTCTCCAAGCTTACCTTGGTCGATCTTCTGCTCTCAACTGCAGATCAAAACAACTTGGCAGCAACCAACGCTCAAGTCATTTCTCTTCAGTTCCAGGGACGGAGAGGATGAAAATTGGGTCACTTCTCAAACGATTAAAACATTCATTTCTCAACCAGAAATGCAGTAAACAGGGTCGCGTTGATCCAATCAACCTGCCTAAAATGGTGAATAACTGCCCCCCTCACACCAGAGACAGATTTGGTCCAGAACCTCCAGTTCTTAGCAGATGATATTTATTAAATTTATATAGCCAAGCAACCTCGGCTGGCAAACAAGATTGAAGAATGCCACAAAATTCAAAGGAAACGATGAGACAATAAAACACACTTCCAGTAATTATCTCACAGACTAGTCTCACCCATCCCTATCCTCAAAGCTGCCAGGGGATCTAAGGTGGGGATCCTGCCGTGTGGTGCAGAACCTACGGGGGCGGTGGAAACATCCCATGGGAGCCCCTAAAATTTCACTTATAAAGAGGGGTCCTTGCAGCTACCAACTGAGAGCATTTCCACAAGTGAAGGAAGATGGAAGCTTGCAACTGAATCCCAACATCTGCTAGACTGTTGTCTCTCAACAGTCTCCAAGCAAAGTAGGACCAGGAGGGGTATGGCTGTAAATCCTCTCCACCTGTCCCAACTGCCAGTGTTCCCTGTAAATGATTAACATCACCTAGCTGATGTCTTGGATCCAATCATGGTTTGCAGGAGGAGAATTCTACAGCAAGCAAGGGAGACGTGAAGAGGAACAGAGGGCAAGGAAGTGAGGGTTACCCCTGTATGCGAAAAAAGAAAGGAGGCGAAGAAAGTCTGCTATTCCTATGAGAGGCCAAAGGCCTACGCGGGAGATAAGTGCCAACTGACTTGCGTGGGAGAATCTCAATAGCTAAATGAACCAAAAAGAGCATTGAGGCTGATTTCACAATGTAAGATAGGAGAACATGAAAGCTGTTATTCCCTGCCATGGGCCTTCCAAGGTCACAAGATAGCAAAACAAAGGAGCTTGGTTTGGATCAAGGCCATTTTCCCCCCAAAAAAGGGGAAGATTGGGATCTTGAGGGAAAAATCCAGAATGAATGCTACATGGATATTTCAGCAGTTAAAAGATTAGAGCAAACCTAACATCTAACTTAAAATATGGAGATCCTTCTGAGATGCTTTGGCCCTTTTTCTGTTTAAAAATGACACGCGGTGGTGACTACTGAAGAGGCAAGCAATCAGATGTTTTGGACCTCAGCTCCAACCAGCCTAACCAATGGCAAAGCACCCTGGGAGCAGCAGTCCAATATATCCTGAGGACAACCTCAAAGGTGCTTCTTCAAAAGCGGTTAGTGTGGCAGGTTGCCAAGTCTCAGGAAGAAAGGGATGGTGAGCCTGCGGAAATCTGCTTTAATGTTAAGTCTTCTTCCCACCGTCTTATTTTGCTTGTCCTCCTCAACTCCTGATGGACTGGCGTTCATTTTGGTTGGCTCTTTCTCAACCTGCCAGATGGAAAATCCAAGCTGCCCTAGCCAGTCACTGCTTTTTTTCGGTTTTTCACTCTTGCGAAGGCTGTCCTACATTTCAAAACCTCTTCGCCGGCAGGGGCGATGCCCATCAAAGGTTCTCCTCTCGGGAAAACTTAACGTGATAGGATTTTTCTCAAGGAAAAACCCGTGGATTTCTCAGGCTCGGGAAAGGCCACGAGATGATGCACTGTCTTCCCCAAAACGAGAGCCCTTTCCCCCAGTCCTTTCATGTGAATTGGAGACCATCTAGAACGGCTCTTCCCCAGCCCGGTGCCCTCCGGAGGTGAACTTTGCGTTGGCTGAGCCTGATGGGATTTGAAGTCCAACACATCAGAAAGAAAAAGTCTGCCAGGAGAAACGAGAGGGGAGACATTCGCGCTTTTTGACTTGCGGAGGTGCCAATGGCATCGGAAACAAAGGCAGCAAGATGCAAAAAAAAACAGATCAAGATGTCATTGCTTAGTTCTGCCTGCCCGGAATCTACA